AATGAGCCGCGGCCAATTTTCCTGCCTGAATACTCGCCAGAGGACAACGAGGAGCATAGCCCCAACTGCGGCTTCTGTTTATCCCTGTCAAACAGGGTTAGGCTTCTTCCGGATGCTGAAAGGGTTTTCTGCTTTTCCCGTCTCCTGGAAGGCTATGTGACAAATTCCTTGAAATAGTCATGAAGGAGGCAGAGGAGATGATGGCAGAGACCTTTGACCCCTCTCCCCCTCTTCGGCACAACGCTTTCCCCATCAATGTCCAGATCAGTGTTTTTCCAACTTGTCAACTTTAAGGTCTAGAGGTTCCAACTCCCAGAATTCCCCAGCAGTACAACTTCAAGTTCCCACTGGTCCAGATCAAATCGGAAGGACTCCCTGGAGAAGAGACTCATGCTGGGAACGATGGAGGGCAAAAGAAGACGGGGAACGACAGAGAAGGAGGTGGCTGGATGGAGTCACTGAAGCAGTCGGCATGAGCTTCAATGGACTCCGGAGGATGGCAGAGGACAGGAAAGCCTGGAGGAACGTTGTCCATGAGGTTGCGATGGGTCAGACACGACTTTGCAACTAGCAACAACAAGATCAAATCAGAACATCGAAAGAGTTTTCTGTCAAAGCTTTACTCCCACCTAAAGATCATCTGGGCTCTTGTGGGTCAGATATAATAGTTTTTTTCTTGATATAGCTGAATTAAAGAGCTACCCATCAGACCTTGAACCGGCAAAATACCGTACTAGCATAAAATGGAGCCGGTTGGCATAGTGGTTAAGGTGCTTGTCTAGGAATCAGGAAACTGGGTGAGAGAGACACAGTTTAACAGAGTTGGAAGGGACCTTGTAGGTCATCTAGTCCAACTTGCCTGCCCAAGCAGACCCTGCACCCGTGATGGTGAACCTATGACATGTATGCCGGAAGTGGCACACATAACCATCTCTCCAGGCATACCAGCTCTCGCCTGTTGCTCTTTTGGGTTCTGGCGCACATGTGCGCACCAGCCAGCTGGTGTTTGCGTGTGTGGGAGCACCAGAAAATGGAAGTGCACCTCCCTGGCACACATGCACACCAGAAACAGGAAAGACCAGATGACTGGCATGCATGCGCACTCCGGAAACCAGAAACTCAGCTTCCTAGCGCGCGCATGCGTGCCGGGGAACTGCTCTTCTCAATCTCTCAACACATGCACACGGGAAACATGGCATATATTAGGAAAGTACTTTTCTACCATTCCAACAACTCTAAATACAAATCTAGAACCAGAAACATAAAGAGGATAAGCCAAAAATATTCCAAGAAGCCAAATGACAATAGGTCATCGATGTTCTTGCTTGTTTTGTGGTGTTTTGTTTTTAAAGCAGATGAGGCACTTTTTGTGACATGATAGCAGCCTTCTAATATTTGAGAGGCTAAAGGGAGGGGTGGAGGTTCAACCTATTCTCCAAAGCACTTGAAGGTAGGACAAGAAGCGATGGATGGGAACTAACCAAGGGGGGAACCAACCTGGAATGAAGTTGAAATTTCCTGACAGTGAGGACAATTAACCAGTGAAACAGAAGTTGTCTTCAGAAGTTGTGGGTGTTTCATAGCTGGAGTTTTTAAAGAAGAGATTGGACAGTCATTTGTCTGGAATGGAGCAGGGGTCGGCAACCTTAAACACTCAGAGCCACAAAGGTCCTAACCGGAAGCCCCCCGTTAAATTCTGGAGCCAACCAGAAAGTCCAGTTCCCCCATCATAGTCTCCTCCTAGCACGGCGTCCTTTTTCCTCTACCTGTCATAACCGAAACTCTTATCAATTGTGGAGGTGGGCGGAAAACCCTTGCCATAGAGTCTCCTCCTGGCACGCCCTGTTCCCCCCCCCAAGAAACCGGGAGCTGCAGCAGAGGGAGGAAAGAGCCACATGTGGTTGCTGACCTCTGGTGTAGAGTCTCCTGCTTGAGCAGGGAGTTGGACTAGAAAACCTCCAATGTCCCTCCCAACTCTATTATTCTGTTATTCCAATCTGGGAAGGGATGCAAACAGCGATGGAAAGGCTTTTGCTGACAAGGCTTCTGCCAATGGCAACCGAGGGTGAAGACATGCTGCCAGGTGATGTATCTCCAAGTGCTGTCAAGAGATAGTCAAGGATGATTGTCTCCCAAATCACTTGGAAAACAATTATTCACTTAATATCTATCCATCTTAACCCTGAGATCGCCTGGAGAGAAGTGATGAAAGAAATGTCCTTCTGGGTTTGGCTCCAAGTGGGGAAAAAGACACTGGAGACATGGAGGCTGCTTGGAAAGATGGTTTTAATGGTGNATTTTTACAACATTTTTTTGGGGTGTCCGTTACGCGAACGCCGCAGTTGTAAAACAACCAGCAACTTTCTTAAGCGGATACTGTGGTCCTTAAGTGAACACCGCGGTCGTTAACCGAACCTATTGTTGGACTGTTCTTGCCCAAAGCGGTTATGTACACTGGAATCATGCAACTGCGGAGCACTGCAAATGGCTGTGGAAGGGGTCTGGTTGCTAGGCGACCGACATGGAGTCACGTGACTGCAGGAAGGGCTGGTATTCA